CAGTCACTTCTTTGTGCCGAGTGCTTGGCGGGCGTTATCAGCAACACTGATTTAATCCTGCCAGTGTCCCTAAGGGGTAAGTGCTCTTATTATTCCCATTTACAGAAGGGGAAACTGAGGCCCTGGGAGATCATCGCATTGGTGTGAGACTATGCAGTCGTGCATGGTGGTCCTTTGCTCCAGAGTCCGTGGTCCTGACCCCTGGGCCTGGTGGCCTTCCCTCTGCACGGCTCTGTGTTCAGTGGCTGCTTTCTCGTCAGGGTGTAAAACTTCCCTAAAGCAAGCCTCTTGGTGAAGGGAATGCTGCTGTTCAGTGTGTTTTTATAAAAGAGCTTTGGGCCTTTAACTTCTTTTTAAGTAAGACCAGGCCGTACCTCATTTAGATGTGACCCCCCTCGGCCCTAGAAGATGAGCTTCCTTCTGCTTTCCATTTGAAGTGTCCTGCTTGGGGTGCCTGGAGGGCTCAGTCGTTAAGCGTCTGCCTTGGGTTCAGGTCATGATCCCCGAGTCCTGGGATCGAGCCCCGTGGGGGCTCCCTGCTCAGCAGAGAGCCTGTTTCTTCCTCTGCTGCCTCCTCTGCTTGTGTTCTCTCTCTCTGTGTCAGATAAATAATAAAAAATAAAATAAAGTGCCCAGCTTAGAGCCGCAGACGGCATGCCCCTAGACATGAATCCCTTCGGGCTCTGTTGAAGTAAAGGACTCTCAAACTTGACCTTTCAAAAACACGGTTACAGCTCTGATCTGAAAAAAAAAAAAGATAAGTAAAATGACCTCGCAACGACATCGATCCTGAGTTTATCAAATCCTTTAAATAAAGACCTCAAGGTCGGCAGACCCATAGCCTGTGTCCTTCTGGCCCCGGGTTAATTACAGAAAGGTACTAGAGGTCTGACAGAGATGAAGGTCAATGGTTTTCAAGCTGATCTCCGACCTGTGTTCAAGGAGACACTCCAGAGAAAGACTTGGGGGTACAAGGTGGCCTGGCCTGAAATTAGGGGTCCCTTATACTTCCCCTCACTTTCAGTTAGTCCAGTCTTTCAGTCTTATTTTATAGAATAGGCTCTGGGATGACATTTTATTTAAGGGGCCTTTCCCTACCTGTAATTGTTTTTTGTGTATTAAAAAGCAACTGAGCTAACCAGACTCCATCCTCTGCCGCTGAGGTGCAGACGGGCAAATTCACCTCCCCAGGGTCACGTATTGTTTTGGCTAAAAGCAATTCCTTGTATTCCTCCTCTGAAAGCTCAAAGGCTGGGCCAGTTGCCAAGCCGACTCCACGGTCGGTCGCTCCTCTGCTGTCTGGGTCAGCCCTCACTCCATCCAGCGATGCGGACCTGGCCGGATTTCCTTTTTGTGTAGGACTCCTCAGAGTGTATTTGGAAAACCAAACACCGTTCAAGGTGTTCAGGGGTGGAGGGCGGGTGGGGCGGGGGGAGAGCCAAGTCCAGAAATCCTGTACCTGCGTGCCCTTTCCCTAGGAGCCCGCAGTCACCCTGTGTGGTTCCCCTTCCTTCTGATTTATTTATGCCTTGAAAGCAGCCTTGCTGAGAATACGCAGCAGCAAAACACAGCAGCTGTTCTCCACCCAAAGGCCGTTCCCAACAGCCCCATCTTGGGAGCCCGAGTTAGAGAAAATTATGCCCTGAAAGGAAAAATTGTTTTCACCTGTGGAAACATTTTTTGTTTTCTAAGTTCCCGAAAACTAAAGCAATAAACAAAACATGCAAATAGGAATGTCCAGGACATTTGCCACTAGTAATAATGGATATGTGGTCCTTTCTGTCTTATCCTCCCTGTTGACTAGAAACATCTTCATTTGGCTTTGTGACAGATGAGCAGCTTACTGAGAAATTGTGGATTTCTACGCATAGGTCTCCACCCACCTAAATATCCAATGCCTTTATGATCTTTTGTGTAAAAACTAGCTGCTAATTCCTGCCTCCTGGGTTCGTGGTCCAGAGACGCTGCCCACAGCCTGGCGTGTCAGCCCTGGCATGTGACTGGTTCTCCAGAAATAGAGAGTCCTGGGACCTGGTTTCCTTTCTCCCAGCTTCGACTCTGCTCCTCTCTGCCATTGGCTTTATCTACAATTCCCTGTTTCTGCTCCCTCTAATTGTTCCCATTGAAACCAACACAGGCACTGGCATTCTTGTTATGTCCAAAGATATACTGAAGTCCTACACTGAGATTTCCTACAAGGGAAATGTAGATTCTGGTTCGGAAAAGACAAGAACTCTTTTATTTAGGTTCATCTAATTCCCAAGAATTTGGAGACCGATATTGGCTCTCCTGCTACTTAATTACATATTCAGAGATGTTATCTAAAAACTCCTTCGGGTGTCCTATATATGCGCTGATATTTTTAGTTTCACTTTTGCTTCTTCTGTTCCCTAAGAAGATTTAAAGAATATCTAACTCTCCTCCAAAGAAGAGAATTCCTCAGAGATTGTAAAAAGCAAGTCAAAAGATGTTAATTAGTAGTATGTCACACGAAAGTGATTTGCTGCCATCCCTGACAGTCTTTCAATTATTTGCCAGGATTAAGGTTCTGAACTTGGTCTCAGGTAGAGATCTCTGGGGTAGGGAAATGGTCCTTGCTGAGTGTTGATAATGTCCTATAACCTTTAGGTATCATGAAACAACACAAGAGAGGAGTTTGACCCTTTTCAGAGTCTGGGAAATTCCTCCCTGTAAAGCTTCAAGGCAGGACAGGTTCCTGGGTATACTGGTAGTTGGTGGATTAAAATAACGAATCTTTATGTACAAAGGGGTTTTTACAGGTTTTGTCTCAAGGACGGCCTTGTAGGATGTACACTTATAAAACAGAAGCCGCTGGATTAAGTCCTCCTATCAGAGAGGGGAAAGAGCTTGTCATTTATTTGTCACAATTTTATTTTATTGGTTCTTGTTCTGCAAATCCAGCCCTAATATCTTGGCAGAGAGGTGAAACTCTATACGCTTCCTTATTTCATTCATTGTGGGCATTATTATTTTCCCTATTTAGGATGGATCTGTCACCATCCTAACTTGAATTTCCTTAGAAGTAAATTTCGTCCCTGAAGAGACATGCAGTGTTTAGCTAAAAGCATGTGCTTGCCCCTGACCAGTGACTTTCTTCTGGGTTGTGCCATGCACTTCTTGGCTTGAGGCCAAAGCCTTGAACTTCTCATGACTGGAGCTAAGAGCAGTGTCAACTTCCCCCTGAGTCACAGGACTCAGGGGGTGGGAGGGAGGTGGAGATGTTGGAATAAAATTGGGAACCTTTTAGGAGAGAGGAATGCATACTTGGCAGGCAGCCAACAGTGTCAAGTATAGTTAATATTCGTGCAATTTCCAAGGTCATTTTTTTTTTATTCCTTAAATATAAAAGTAATCGTGGCTTTTTTCAAAGCTCAAACACCATATTGGTCCTTTAAGACTTCATTCCCCCAAACAGTACTTACTCTCTGGCACCCCCAACAAGAGCGCCTGGAAGCCAGGCACTGTGCCTGGCTCATCTGAATATCCTTGGCACGCACAGGTTCTCGGAATGAGTGTTTGCAGAATAAATGCATATGCAACTTACTCTCTGAATTCCCCCAGGATTCGAGCACCTCAGCCTTGGTGTAAAACAAAGCAGAGCCAAAATGCAGACCTACAAAAGTCCCTTCACACCATTGCCCCTGCCATAGGTCTGTATCTTCTCCCTATTTTCATCCTTGACATTTTGCTTTGATTTTTATTTTTATAAAGTTTATGGCTATCATAAAAAGCAGCATGAAAACTCTATTTTTAAGATTGATTTAACAGGATGACCATGTTTTTGTTTGTTAACTCCTTACTAATCTACCATAATTTAAGGACATTTGTCATAGTTTAAAATAGATTGCATATTCCTGTTTTAACCCCCTTAAGTCCTTTTTTTCCCCCCTGCCTGCTGCCAGGATAAGAGGGAGGGAAGGAATGGTTGAAAATAGGATTGCATTTTAGCAGACCCTGAATGTTCTTGATGTGTTTCTTATACCATCCCTCCACTGGGTTGACTGTACTAATCCCATTTAAAAAGTAAACACAAGGGGCACCTCAGTGGCTCATTCAGTTAAGCATCTGCCATCGGCTCAAGTCCTGGGATCAAGCCCCAAGTCTGGTTCCCTGCTCACTGGGGAGTCTGCTTCTCCCTCTCCCTCCACTGGGTCTCTCTCTCAAATAAATAAAAATTAAAAAAAAAATAAAAGGTAAACTAAAAATACTCACTGGTGAGTGATGTTTCTAAAGTCCCCGTATTCCTTATCTATGACTGCTGCAGTCCCCTGTCAGGCCACCACTCGCTCAGTGGCTCAAAACAACACAAATGTATCTTTTTCAGCTATGGAGATCCAAGGTCCAAAATGGTTCATATTCAGACAAAACCAAGGCATCACCGAGGCTTCATAGCTTTCAGAGCCTCAAGGGGAGAATCTTCCCTTTCTTTTTTCCAGCTTTCAGGGGTGCCCTGCCTCCCTTGCCCATTGGCCCTCTCCCCATTTTCAGATCACCCTCTCCTTGACCTTCCTTCCTCCCTCTCCCATTTTGCGAGGATCCTTGTGGTCACACTGAGCCCAAAGAGATTATCTCTCCATCTCAACATCGTTAATTACACCTGCCAAGTCCTTTTGACCATGTAAGGCAGCAAGTTCACAGATCCCTTAGGATGGGGGAAATATTTGGCTATGTTATTCTACCTACTATAATCCTAAACCCAGAAAGTGTCTTCACAGCATTTGCCTTCTGTATATACAAAGGAGACAAGATTGAGGCTTATGTGCCTTCTGCTGATAGCCTATCATGATGCTACTTAATTTTATGAAGAACTAACCTCTTCCGTATCAGGGTTGAGAACACGGATAGCAATGCTACTGTAATTACATCATAGAAACACCCTGGCAGTTGAGAGCTCATGAGTTTTACACAGAAGTTTTAAAAAACTTGCCCTACAGTGACATGTTGGAGGAACTCAGAGTCTTCTAACTTTTGTCTTTTAGGCTTATGTACAGAAGTACATTGTGAAGAATTATTTCTACTATTACCTATTCCGATTTTCTGCTGCTCTGGGTCAAGAAGTCTTCTACATCACATTTCTTCCGTTCACTCACTGGAACATTGATCCTTATTTATCCAGAAGACTGATCATCATATGGGTTGTAAGTATGCCTATTACTTACTAACCACAACGACACCTACAACAGCCACCTGCTTTGGAATTCAAGTACTTTGCATATGTGTTGTTGTTGTTCTTTTTTTTTTTTTTTAAATCACTTAGAGTTAAATTTTTATATGGTTTACTTTGGAAATATTTAAAAGCTATGAACATAACTTGTTTTGTTTGCAAAAACCAGACAAACCTGTGATGCGTGTACATTGGCACACACCTCTGTTTGCGGGAATAAACCCAGAAGAGCAAAGATGTGAGGTGCAGAGAAAAAAGGACATTTCTGAGAACCCATGTAGGGGCATAAAAATGCATCCCCCCAAGAGGCCAATTTTAGTACAATCTGACCCAAAACTGAAACTAGAAGCTGTTGACTGATCATTCCAAGTGGTCTTAGAAGCTTAGAACTAGGGGCCTGGCCTGTGAGAGGACGCTACCCATCGCTGCTTGAATGTGGTAATGCTTAGCGACTAGTCTGTGAAGGTGAAGGAGTTTTAATGGTCAGCCAGTTCAGAGGTCAGACTGCTTCCCTGGGCGGGGGCGCATCAGAGCAAGGCTGCCAGCATGGCTGTTTCCACAACTCAAGATTCTGTGCTGAAAACGGGGGTTCAGGAACACTTGGCTGTGTGAAGGGATCTGGGTTCTTGTGCAGCTCTGCTCTGAAAAGCTGTGTGATCTTAAACAAATGACTCCACCACTCTGGGCTTTATTTTTCTCGTTTGTAGACCAAGTTCAAGGGGCCTCAGTCAGAAACCATAACGTCACATGTCCTTTAGGACAGGGGAAGGGAAATCAAGGGGTGAAGTCCTGGGTGGGGAGGGTGGTGGGGATGGTTAGGGGTGGTAGAGGGAGTGGGGGGTGTCAGTGAGAGCCACGGTGTTGCCACTAGGGGCCCTGGGGAGCAGCCACCTCTCTGTTCCACCTGTGACTGCCCTGAAGCAAACGGGCTGGAGCTGTTAGATTTGTTTTTCGTGGGAAGCCTCCCATTTTTTAAATGTAGGCATACATCTTTAAAACATTATGCGTCAGCTGAACAAAGAATCCTTGAAGTCCACATGTACGAGGACTGGTTTGAAGCCTCTAGCCTAGAGCTTTAACCACTAAGGTCTCCAGGGCTTATGGTTATGATTATTTGGCCCCAAATTCTTCCTGACTTTTTTTTTTCTCCTTTTCTCTCTAAACCGACAAGCCACTGGTTCCTTTCCCCATCCCTGTATCCCAAGCAGTCCTCTTCTGAAATCTAGCTCCTGTATGAGCGAGAGTATGACCTGAGACTCTGCAAAAGCATAGGCTTCTTGCAAAAGGTGAAAGGTGGTATCATCAGTCGTGCATGTCTCTTTATGCTGCCCCTCCGAGACCTGCAGAGCAGGGCCGTCCCGGCTCCACTGGGAAGGCAAGGAGCGTGCACAGGGGCAGGGAGCATTTCTGAAATGCAGCAAAGGGGCTGGGTGCTTGAGTTTCCTCCCTGTCATTTACTTTCTATATGTGTGTGCATATGAATATATACCAGTTTTCCAACTTCTATGGTGGTTGAGTGAGGCAGATGATGTTAAACCCTTTTATAATTGTTCACTTATGCCATCGGCTCAAGGCCTGCTGTCTCCCCCACCAAGAGTGGTCCGTTTTTCCTGAGCAGCTGAGAGAAACTTTACACCGGATGGTAGTCAGGGAACTCTCTGATTGTTGTTTTGGTTGTCACGTTTCACTGCGGAGTCTTCCTTTCAAAGTGCCCAAAGGACTTTCTGTGTGAGGTGGAATTACCAGTCTTTTGTCAGAGAGTGAGCAGATCAGCTCTTTTCCTGAGAAAGGAAAAGAGCAACCTTTGAGTAATAGATTGTCTTGTGCTTTGGTGACCTGTCCCTTGCTTTTAAAAAATGGGTTGTGCACTCAGGTCCACAGGCCACCGGGCTCGAGGTTCCATGTCCTGTGTGGTCAGTCGGATCCTCGAAGCAGGGAATTCCTAGTAGTTCCTTGTGCAGACAGTGGAGGCCATTTTAAGAGATAGACAAGAACAGTGAGGGACAGGGACAAGCAGAGGTGGGAGGGGGAGAGATAGGAGGGGGGAGACAGGAGGGGCAAGGGGGAGAGAGAGAGAGCGGCCCAAGAGACTTAGATGGAAAGGTATGTTGGGAGGTGGGGAGGAGGGAGCTCTGTGCCTGTTGCAGAGATAATAAAAGATGCTTGGTTTGGCTCTGGGGGGAAGGCAGGAAGGGAAGGGAAGTCCCTGGTGGGTTTGGTGGGAGTGGGGGAGGTTGGGAGGGATGGCAGGATGGAGCACAGTGAGGCCCTCCCCAGGGAAGCAGCTTCCTCTGAGGCAGCCTCTCTGGCAGAAGGGACATGGGTATTTAGGGAGTGAGGATGCAGCCACGCCAATGACACGGGGCAGAGTGCGAAGCCTCCTAGCATTAAACATCTTCTTTCGTCCAAGAGGCTTGGAAAGGCAACTGTGTTCAGGAGCGCTAAACCTCTTGTGAGATTTTCTGTCCGTTCCACGGTTTTCCTTGGATGGAATCCCAATAGGTATTATTGCATTAAAAAATTATTTGTTATCACGGGGGTGACTCATACCATCTGAGGTAGCTTAGCAGAGTTTATGGTTCTAGTAAGCACTTCCTCGTTGCAATCCTGACTATCCCCCCACCCACACACACACACAGTACATCTTCTATTGCTTTTACTGGCATCTGTGTTGGTTATCTTATTTGATTTCATAACAATGGGTGAGTATCATTTTCATCATTTTATAGATCGGGATAGTAATGCTTCAAATAATAATGAGCCCTAGCCTACATTGAGTGCATCAGCATCGTACTACAACTCATGCCTCCGTGTGACGACGCCTTCCGTACTTTTACCTCCCTGAACCCTGCCTGTGATCCTGAGAGGTGGTGCTTGCCAGCCCATTTAACAGATCAGAAACTGGTATCTAGAAAGACTGAATAACTCACCCGTGATCACATTGGCTTGAGTGGACTTGATCCTGGCTTCCAGGGCCTCATGGGCTGGAGGCAGCTGCTAAATGACATGAAGAGCTTCTCCTCTCTCTTTTTTTTTTTTTTTTTTTAAAGAGGTGTTAAAACCAAGGCTTTAAGCATTAAAATCACTTGCCCAAAGTTACCCTTTTTTTTTTTAAGATTTTATTTTTAAGTAATCTCCACATAGAACCTGGGGCTCGAACTTACAACCCCAAGATCAAGAGTTGCATGTTCTACCAGCTAAGCTAAACAGGTGCTCCCCAAAGTTACCTTCTATTGCATATTTGCTATGATTGTCTTTCAGGTTTGCCCATCTGACATTTATGAACTCTTTTTCTTTTTTTTTTTTTTTTTTAAGATTTTATTTATTTATTTGACAGACAGAGATCACAAGTAGGCAGAGAGGCAGGCAGAGAGAGAGAGGAGGAAGCAGGCTCCCTGCTGAGCAGAGAGCCCGATGCGGGGCTCGATCCCAGGACTCTGGGATCATGACCTGAGCTGAAGGCAGAGGCCTTAACCCACTGAGCCACCCAGGCGCCCAGGAACTCTTTTTCTATCTAAGTGTCTTTTATGTAACTTTCTCGACAAGTCAAAGTATTTCATCCCAGAAAATTTAGACAAGCGAGCCTTTTTAGTTAGCTAAAAGACATCAGTCGAGTTATCATTTCCCTCTTCTGTCACTTACCAGGGTGTTTAACCTGGCATTGGATTCCACCATTGGATTTCACGGAGCAGAGATGACTGTGAATGGTTATTGACCTAGATTCTCATGAAAAGACATGGTAGACCGTGCTTTAGGAAGAGTCATTGTCCAGAGTGACTGTCCCATCTCTTGTCTTCCACTTTGGTATGGTGGCGGCCCCACCAAAAAATAAAGGCTTTAAAGCAGTATTGCTGTGTCTCAAAAAGATGAGAGACCATTTCATTGACTCTGCATGGTGGTCGGCTTTGTAACATGAGGCAAAATCTCACTTTCTGCTACGTCAAGTTATTCTCCATTTAGTAAAATAGCAGTGCAAATATCGATACCACAGTTCATCCTTGGGAAGCTCCTTTTTGTCTGTTCTTATGTTATTTATTTCTATACTGCCTCTTTTAAGATACCTCTTGGCATTCAGAATGAGATGCAAGTAAAAATGGGGAAAGCAAATTTAGGGGAAATATGGATAAATTAGGAGATAAAGGCCTTGTCTGAAATGAAATATAGCTTTACTGATTCAAAGTTGAGCCGCACATTTGTCTTTGACTTTGTCCTGACCAAACCAAAATGAGATTCAGTTACATCCACCAGGAAACATTTGCTTTATTCCTAAGGGAGCAGAACTTCTTCTGACACACAGAGTTCGTAGAATCGTTGAGCTCTGTTGCTGAATTATTTTCCTAGAAATAGTTTGGTACAGCACCCCCATCGGGTGTGAGTACCCCTTTTGACGTTTCCTCATAAGCTTTGTGCATTCTCATTTTTTAATCACTGCTAATTTCACCAATGGAAAAAAAATGTTATCTCAGTTAATTTTCATTTCATATAGTTTTAGTGAAGATGAATGCATTTTTCAGATTTTTATTAGCCATTTGTATGAACTCCTCTGTGAATTGTTATTCTGCTTTTTGAGTGTGTGTGTGTTTTAAAGAGAGGCTTTAGTTTTTAAATGGATTTTTCATCAGTTATAAAATGATACTGAGCTATTGATTTTTTCCATGGATCAGAGACCATGTATCTTTACAAATAAGATTTTTAGAAGTTTGAGACTTTGAGAAATGGTATTTAAATTTATAGTGTCATTAATAGTGACTTAAAGTCCTTTAAAATTGAACAGCACCTGGTTCCTCCGTTGGTTAAGTGTCTGACTTGATTTTGGCTCAGGTCATGATCTCAGGGTCCTGGGATCGAGGCCCACGTCTGGGCTCCATGCTTAGCAGGTAGTCTATTTGAGGATTCTCTGTCTCTCTCCCTCTGCCCCTCCATCACCCTCTAAAATAAATAAATCTTTTACAAAAATTGAATTTCAGTGCTTTT